AAACGACAAAACCCATTTTTTTCAATCGCCTATAGCTCGAAAACAGTAAGAGATAGAAAATATTTGAAAGGATTTTCATGAACGGGAATCAAATTATTCTACAAACCTTTAATAGGTGTTTCCCGAAAATCGCACTCCTTAACCTTCAAAAAACGCCCTACTTTCAAAATTTGGTAAATTTCTTTAAATTTTTACCGGTTTTCGCCATTTTTCATACTTAAATAATTTGTTTTTTGCAAAAATTAATATTGCTTTGTATTCCTCCTTACTTAACTTTAAATTTTAAACACAACGTGTTTTTTCGACTCCTTGACCCCCAAAACTTAGGTTTAATGTCAAAATTTGGGGCCCCCCAATATTATTCCTACAGGTGCATCGGTCTAAATCAATTTTAACCAATTCTAGATTAGCTAAAGATGTGAAATTTGGCTCAATTGTAGGTCTTGCGCCATGGCCCATTTGTATTTACCCCCAACCAAAAAAGGGGACCTGGGGGCGTCGTATTTTCAACCCCCCACCCAAATATTGAATCCTCCCCCCCTAATGTTATTCTTACAGGTGCATAAGTCTAAATCACGTTTACCCATTTCTAGATTAACTGGATATCTGAAATTTGGCATGATTGTTGATCTTGCGCCCTTTTCAAAATTGACATTTTACAAATATAACTCCCCCCCCCACGAAAATTAGAATCCCCCCAATGTTATTCCTTCAGGTGCATCGGTCTAAATCAATTTTACCCACTTCTAGATTAGCTAAAGATCTGAAATTGGGCTCAATTGCAGGTCTTGGGCCATGGCCTATTTCTTTTTATCCCCAACCAAAAAAGGGGGCCTGGGGGCGGAGCCCCCAGCGAGCCAAAGGCGAGTCTTTCCTATATACTTATAAATATGTTGTGATACTGTTTTTATATTCATACCAACATTTTAAAACCTTCAGTGTGTAAAGAATCTTTGAAGAAGTCCTTTAAATACCCGATAAAATCAATAAACACATTAATAATTATGATAACTTAGGATCAATTAGGGAATTGAGTAGCTTATCGGAAATATATCCTTATGACAATCGAACTACATGAGACCACGTCTCAAAAGATTTCCAAGCAATCAACACATCAGGTTTTTAATGAAGCCATTATGTGAAGTAGATGTAGATAAAATATTAGAAATCAATTGGATTCATCCAGGAATATTCCCGGGATTGTTATATCCAAAATAACCCAGGTGTCAGCAGATATTCTTAATTTTCTTTCAAAATGTATTGACATTTTTGAGCTCAACAGTGACTATTGTGTTTTACAATGTCCACATTCCTACAAAGGTATTGCTATAAATATATGATCGAAACGTCCATAAATGGAGCAAATAATTCACGTAGTATTGGTAATATTTGAGGTTATTACATTTAAACTACTATTGCACAGTCAACTTGCGATAAATATTTGATTGACATTTTCATAAATGGAGCAAATGTTCCACATAGTATTGGTAATATTTGAGATTATTACATTTAAACTACTATTGCGCAGTCAACTTCATATTTTCAATTTAAATGCATTATAACATAGAGATTTAATAGCATAGCTACATGCATGTAATTACTACGCTTTTCCCCACAATCTTTGTTAGTAATTTTACGTAGCATTAGTTCACTAACTTGTGTAAGAATAAGATTTTTTAATTTCGGATGTATATTACGCCAATAATATAGATAATTTAATTAGTATTAAAATGGTTTTCCCCATCGACTGGCTATTAGACAACCATCCATATACAGTAGAACCTCGATAGCAGGACTTGATGAAATAAGACTTGTTGTAAACGTTGACTTCTTACCGAGGTTTGCAATAACATGAGATTTTTTCCCCTAAGATGCTAGGCACGAGCCTGGGTTTGTTTTTCACATTACTTCAGGCTAGACCTAGGGGTTGCGGCATTATCACTTAGATAAAATCCATTGGTGACTTGGCGGGGATCGAACCTGGGATCTCAGGGACTGAATTCCCACGCTCTAAACACTACGCCAGCTCGCTCCCCAATAACATGAGATAAGGGGTAACATAAATTAAATGAGATTGAAAGGGATTTAAAAATGACCCTTATTACCCAGGGTGTATTGTTATCAATGTAACACTCTAATCCTGGGAACGGGAAGTTGACTTAAAATTGAACACATTTTACGGATTCAAACATTCAAAATGCATTTTAAATTTTAATACCTGGCATTATGTGGTAAATAAAACTTTTGAGAGATGTTTAATTTTTTTCAGTATGAACAACTTATGACAACTGATATAGGATAACACATATAAATATAAAATGAAGAAGAAAAAACAGCGTTTATAATATAATATTAAACAAATGAAAAAGGCGAATTAACAATGTTACTATCATAGCTAATATTATATTAAATGTTAGTGCTTCATATCTGTATTTTACCAACTAAACCAAGCGAGAAAATGCTAGAATTTATATAAGTTGTGATTTATGATCATGAATGTTAAAAAAACAAATACTAAATTTTTTTTAAAATATGTTTAAAAAGATATATGTCTCATATGTTTTTGAAATATTATTTTAAAGTTACTGTATTCTAGGCTAATATAACGTCATCTATAAATTCCGATGTTCTTTCGTTGTCCAAAGACAATGAATAAAGCCCGCATCTTTAATTTGAAACTTTTTAATTGGATAACTTATAATTGCATTAGTTGGCTTAAATAATGTCAAACGATTTGATCTCCTTATCATTTAAATTGTATTACTAATCCTGAATCCATTTCATTTATCTTGGTCTACATTTTTCTGTAGCTCTGATTAGTACTACCTTCAATAGTTACTATGCACTTTATTATGGAATTAGTTTCTATATACTTAGATAATGTAGAAATTAAAAAAGAGAAAAAAAACTAAAAAAATATTTTAATAAACAGAGTTAAAAATTTGAAAACACTAATTTTCGGGTTAATATACTTGATCGATCAACTTTCAGAGGTCAACGAACTATGTATAAGGCTCGAAAATAAAAATATTTTTTTTTAATTCAACAACTCCATCCCCAGCAAAGTTGTGATTTCAGGTACAGGAATCTTAAGTTCAACCATTCCAGCCTGATTATTATATAGGCCTACATAATGCTCGGTTGCATGTCTTTTCATTAGATATTTCTGGGCTTGAACACGTCACTTCACTGCGTTTGGAGGGTTACATTTAGCGGAAAAGAGAAATAACTATTTGTATATCAGTAGCGCAAAGTACGCCATTGCAGCTCAAGAACTGTAGATGGCCATACATTTCAAAGGGCGGCAAGAGCTCAGGTATTACACACACCCTTTTCCTCACCACCATAATTAGCTTATCATAATACATAGATTAACTTTTATATTTCAATGTATTAAGTCCTTTTAATCGTTATTCTTTTACAAATATCACCTAGATCATCACTGTTATAAAATATGGAAACCATCTCTTTAATACCAAACCATGAAAGTAAAATAATTAACTATTGTCTAAATAATTACATAATTATAAGTAAATATTTAACTAAATATTTATGTGTGGTTTGCAACTGGATTGGTGGAAGTAACTGTTACACCTACCACCAGAGAACCAAACAACAACCCAGTGTAGCGCTACCAGTGAACCGGTTACCCGATAACTGTTAATAGATGCATTACCGCAACGTTGAAATCAGCTGATTAGCGAGCAGGAATAAATAAAGCGGAAATTATTTATTTTGCAAATCCTTTGCAGTTGTGGCAGTGTGATCATTTCCATGCAGTGGTAAGATAAGGCTCGAGTCAGCTGAAACCTACCGACCATCGAATTTCAATTGTAAAAATAACAAAATAAAGATAATGTGCCATTTGTTGGCATACAATATTAACGATCGAATTTACTCAACACACTATAAAATGTAATAATTTAAACTTGTCGAAAACAAACCACAGTTTTTATTTAAATCCATTTCTAGCTTTGTATATTCTAAATATAACAATTCTCATCTATCTATTTAAATTTGTTCATACATGTTTTCTGTGTACTAAAAATACCGTAATTTAAAGTATCCAACAAAAAATAATATTTATATTGGACTTCCATTTGAGAAAATCTTGACAGATATTTGGGTTATGAGTACACACTATACACCAACAACCAGGGTTCCCATACTGTACCACTCTCAAAGGAAAGTATATTTTTATGACTTTTTACTAACCATCACAATTAATAACTTACGTTGTTTATTTGCCTCAAACAATACAGCTTAAAAATCTTGTTTATTTAGTAAAGTTGCTGATAATGGCAGTAGGCATATCTGTTGTAAAAATAGTGGGATTGAAAATCAGTGTTATCTTTGATAAATCAAGCCGTATGATTCTATAAGCAATATGAATTTTATTGATTGGACTGTACATTAAAAGTGTCATTCCTTATTGTAGCCATCGCAAGTTCTAAATATATTTATTCCAAGTACCTAGCTTATAAATCTTGTTTTTTTTTTTTTTTATTTATTTATTTATTTTTTTTTTTTGAGGTTGGCAGCCTTTTTTAACCTTGCATTTTCCTGTCCACATAGACTAACCGCCCGTGCGTGGAACGTTTACAGCAAAGCAAGGAGTGATCCGGTACAGTACAAAGGTGAACTGTACTGATAAATTTTAATGGCAGTGACCATGATCCGAACCCACGACACGCTGCCTTGGACCCGAGGTCCGCGACGCTACCGACTGAGCCACGGACTCACTTACCATGTTTTAAATGTTATTCTTAAAAAAATTGATCCAGTACTTTTTCTAACACCGTTAAACACTTTTTATTCAACCCAATCACGACAATATTTTTTTGCTAATTCCTTATACGATTCTAATAGTGACAATTTTAAAACCAAGCCATTTGCATTTGAACCTTGTGAAAGCAAAGGTTCAATTTGTTTACGTATTGTTAATTAACTTTTGATTTTTTGAATCGGTAAATGTAATTATTAACATTAAAAAAACTAACCTGTTGGTGGAGGAGATCCTTTTACGAAGGACGTCCCCGTCAGAGCAGCAGCGAGAGAGATGAACCTCAGGGATGCATGTAGATATGTAATGGCCATGTCCAGAGTCAGAGTATCCAAAACACAATATACACTGTAGAGGCTTCAATAAATCACAATGTTCCACCGCAGGGAATCGTTTTTAGATATCCACCGTAACGATGAGCGGAGGAAATACAAGCGCCAGCGCAGGTAGATAAGCGGGAGTCATAATTTTATTGGCAATACCCGCAGGATCGTCGACAATTTTATCACGGTTATTGGTCCGGTCTTTGTATCGGTAACAAACGGGCAGATGTTTATCGTCGTTCCATTAAATGGACTCTTTTGTTTGCTCTCCCGTTAAAAAACAGCGCCACCAAACACGAGATTTTTGCCAGAGGAGCGTGTTTCGTTAACTATAAAATAAATCACCGTTGTTAGCACTATCAGCTGGATCTGTGGCTTGTTTATTAATTTAACACCACTTGTATCACGCACAGCTAAGCATATGAATCGCTTTTCACCTTATGATCACGATACAGTTACACCTATTCATCTAAAGTCTATCAAGATGAATATTTTCCACCGTAACACACCCATAGTGTAGGTTTCCATTCATCACAACCACATTCATGAAAACTGAAGCTTTGGTACATCCTTTACTAACATCAGGTTGAAACAACTCGTACTCACAAGAACTCACTACAGTCGGTCACATTTCACTGGTAAACGGTAAAAGTAATTAAATCACGAAGGTCACTTGTCAAAACTAGTGGAAAATGACGTTGAAAAATCACCTCTCGCGATCAACACTGAACTGAAAACGCCCAGGCTCCTACCCCCTGACGCATGCACTTCGGCTGGACTCGGCAACGCTCGGCAGTTTACGTCATTGTCCCAGACACCCTCACCCACACCCGTAGCTGAACCTCACCACCTGATCGAGAAAAGTATCTCGCTTTTCATTTTCATATAGGTATTTCATCCGGAACACCGAGGCTGTTGTCTGGCGTGTAGTTGGTGTAGTGTTGTTCTCATGGGGCGTCACGATCGATGTTCTGGCGATGAAAACCCTCCCTACCCCCGAGACCCTACTACAGATTACGGAACAACTTTTATCCGCTCACTTCGCATTATTGCAGATAAAGTTTGTTTTTGCTTCCAACACCTTTAACGTTAAAACTTTTCAGATAACAATTGTTTGTTTAAGTAAGTTCGTAGCGTTACAACGGCAGTTTAGTGAATTCAGATTTCTTTCCTTCCTTCTCCTAAAATAATATGACTGTTTTTGCTCGTAGAATTTTTTTTGAATGAGGTGCGTTATAAAAAAAATAAGATTAAATACATAGTTGTGTGTTGTTGTCATATACTAGATGGCTTAAAACTGTGTATAAAGGATTATTATATATTATTGACCAATCTAGTACCACAGTCTCCTTACATTAATTTATAATCAGATTTATTACTTGAATATAGCCTGTGAAGAAGTAAGTTCTTCTTTAATATTGCGTGTTTATTTTTGTATAAAATTATTAAAGAAACTTACAGTAAATATAATTAAATTTGAATAAGAAAACATAAGTGTGTAATGCACAAAAACTAGAATTGATTATAACGTTTCTTTTTGTATTAAATCACTTGTACGAACTTGCAGCTTTTTCAGTTCTAAAATATGGTTCTGGTAGACCGAAGTTAAACATGTTTTCATCACTCCGTAACGAAAGTAACTATTTTCGATAACAGCTGACATCAATGAAAGTAGTCGTTTCCCAAGCTCTAATTTAGGGCGAGGGAAAATCGATCAGCTGATTTTCCCTCGCTCTAAATTTACTTTCCCTCGCTCTCAATTAGTTCTCCATTTATTCTCTACGCGCGCTAGTGTTTTGTTACGGTTTAATTTAATGATTTGAATCAGCTGTATGTATTGTTAAAAGTTGTTTTATTCTTTTATTTTCATGTTTAAACTAAGTTTATTGAGAAATATACTTAGGTTTCCTTTTAGAATATTTTATTTTATTTTGATGTTCAATCAAATTAATTGAGAAATAAAATAGTTGTAATATTACTGAGGTTTGCTAATCTGTGTTTGTGTATTTTTGCGTCGTGATGAAAAGTATCGTTCATAACTCGTACCGAAAAGTTATTATCCGGCACTTGCTCCACTATTCCCGTCCTCGGCTTCGCCTCGTACGTGAAAATAGCTCTCACATACTCGGCTTCGCCTCGCACGTGAAATTGGGGTTCCCTTTGTTCGGCTTCGCCTCACACAAAAACTTGAGCGCGCGACGGAAAATGCCACTTTCGGTCCTAGTAATGAAATATACTATTTTATACCTCTAAACATATGGGCTTGAACCACTTGCCCTAAATGATTTTGTGTAGCTTTGAAAAGTAACTGTGTAATACTACGTTACATTTTCACAATCACCTATACCTTTACCCATATTATTGAAAATTTCACAGGCGTAGACAGTAAGAAAAGTTTCGATTGTTAATGATACCCAAATTGCTACTATTGCGATATTACCGAAAGTAATACAACTAAAATTAATTTAATTTAACTGTATGCAATTTATGTTATAAAATTAATCGCATACTATTCTGTCAGCAAAGGTTCCAAACAATGGACTGCACAAAAATACAATAACATGTTAATCAAAAACACAATTTGATTCATTTAGTAAATTATTAGGGATGGAGAAATGTGAATGAATTAGTAAAATGTTTAAAGATAAACATAACAACCAACCATTCTTTAACCATTCTTTAAACCATTCTTTACTATTAAGACAGCAATAGTGGGTACATTTTCCACCAGATTTATATAAGTACACCTTATAAAACGCTGTATTTCAAACTGCACCTCATTGATGATACAATGTACAATTCTAAGTCTACAGACAGTTTAGCATATCTAAAGAACTTTCTCTCAGCTGTAATTCCCCATCGTATGCAATTTACCCTTAATTTAGAGGCAGTTACGTGAGCAATTTTAAATCGTGAGTAATTGAGTGAAGTCTGCCTCATCAGCAAGTCGAGGTGGGTATTTACCCCGCGGCACCTCCCTCCCCGCTATCACACCTTCCCTCCTACGTTGTCACCCTAGTCCTCAATCAAGGCAATAGAATCCCACCCTCCAAGATCAGGGCGCTGGAAGGTGAAATGGAATCATTATTAAATCTGAGAGCAACACCTGTCGTTACGCTTCCCGCGAATACGTCCAATCGTAGCGCTCCAATCTTGTAAATTTTTCGAGCTGATGTCAGATTTACTAAATCGGCTTCAGCTTTTTGAGAGCCTTTCAGAGGGGCGAATAGGATTTTTATGATTGCTCTTACATTTCCCAGGCAATATTTGCAAGTAAATTGTAATATGATTTTTTATGACAGTTCGAAAATATTACTTTGTTGAATTGCTGTTTAAATTCTATGATTGTGTTAAGTAATTTCAGCACCTTATTTATTTTAGGCCTGTTTGGGATTTTAAATATAGTTTTTTTTTGTATGACCTAACACGTATTTCCATAGTAAATGATACATTTTTGAGAAGTAATACAGCATTTCTTTTACACAAACTAATATGAAGGACGAACTATCAAGTGTTTAGAGTGCGGTACTTCTATCCTAATGGTTATAAATACACATATTCATTTATAGCAATGGATCTTATCTATGTGATAGGCTTAGCGCCCTTTTCCACAAGATTATAAGGCAACATATTAGCTTTAGGTCAACACATCTGGAAAATAAGTATAAATTATATATAAGACCTTTTACTGATCTTAAACCACCCCTTACCTCAACAAAATAATCACAAAATAAAACGATAAAACTATACGGCAGTACAAAAATAAAGTGAACAATTTATGATAATATTAATCTAAAACAATGAATTAAATCAATTTATAACCTGTTTTTTTTTATGGTATAACATTATCTGACTCCTTCTATAATCCTACATTTTGTTGTGAATAGCTTAATTTCTGATCACAGATGGAATCCAGGTAATTGTATAAGATTTTACGTCCTAGAAGTGATCCTGAGCAAAAGAAAATCAATGTATTTTTACCTGGCTAAAAATAAGTTGTTAAACTTTCAGCAAACAAAAAGTTTTTGAACAAAACTAGTCATCGCAACCTAAAATAAATACGAGGTGTTGGATAAAGCTGTATTTTTTCTGAAAACAAATCGAGGTCCCAAGAACGAAAGGTGAACGGTTCGGATCAATGTGGACCCCATTTAAAGAGATGTGATAAAAGGAATTGATTCACATTTATTTGGCGCTATTGCTTTTGCACCGGCACTTCTACCTTTAGATCTTTCACATATGGCCAACAGTAATGTTTATTTTATCTTTCTATAAAAATAGAGATTATTGTTTTATTCTACTTTGGCGTAACTATATCATTTGATACTTAATACGTTTCTCTTAATATAATAATAGTATTACTGTTATTAATTAGTTTAACGGAACAAATGTTTTACTAGTGATGAAGATAAACAAAATAAAAGAGCTTTAACATAAGTTAAAGTTTTTGAAATATACTCAAATGAAAATACTGTATAATAAATACTTAATACCTTAGGAACATTGATATTATTTATTAGAACATTTATTTTCTGTTTGCCTCTCTTAGGACAAAACCTGAGTACTCAATGATAATCATTTATCTTAAAATGATGAGCATGTATAGTCCAATAGTGAAGTTTTATTCTATAACCTCCTTTCTTGATAAAACAAAGCATTCGGAAATAATGTTTTGTCGTTACGTAGTGAGTAAAGAGGGCATTTTAAATTTTACGGTGTACTACGATTCTATGTATCTTGCAGCTGTAAACTATATACTGTAAGATATCCTGAAAAAAAGTAATAAAATCACCTAAGTTTTTTTTTACACATCATTGCTATTGAAACACTCAACTCTATTAATTATATTACCTAAAACATATATCTTAAAGTTTTTTGAAGAAAATGTGATAGAACGAGGTATGTGTCCAAAATAATGATGAACCAATAGAAAATATAATAAAAGATTAGCTTGTGTCAAAATGGCAGCAGTTTTAATTTGTCATGAAATATTCAAACAATTATGATTTTATTGAAGTTTTCGTAAACATCTCATATAAGAATTTAGATTATCCGATCAAGTTTATCAAAATAAAATAATGGACCTAAATGGCAGAAAATTACCGCTTTCTTAGTTGTAAGGCCATAAGTGCACCCTGACAGCTTATTTTACCAGCCTGCGATGATTATTTTCATATAGATATATACAAACATGTTATGGAATTAAAAATTGTTGTCCACTCACAATGCAATTTACAAGAATGTACCCCAAGGGCACCTTACATCAAAATCTTTTTAGTATTAAAGCATGGGTAATCGTTGAAATAATTAATGCTAAGGAAAATTTAGAAATGTTGATTCAGTCAATAACCTATATTTGCTTATTGGAGGTGGCATATTGGTTGGTTAATATTTATGGGCCTCATAAAAACAGCTCTTAGACCATACTTTATTAACTCCCTTCTAGCGCTATCTGTATTTAATTCCTTCTGTTACACAATCATATAATTACGTACAATTGAAGATGTTTATCACTATAAAAAAGCGCAAATCAGGCCAAATTTTTTCCGGTTCAAAGATTTTGACATTCCTACCTATTTACATTCTTGAATCTTTAACATTTGTGAAACAGGATTTTCTAAATTTGACCTTTTTGTAAAAAAATAATACACATTGCGCAGTTCTTACACATTACCTATTCCTAAACATTCAACAACTTTTTTCA